ATCGTAATTTTTCCAATTTTTAAGTGTGTTTTGTACTGTTTTTACAATAAAACACTATGGTTAATTCTTATGTAGTGTGCAGAATCCGCTACAACAAAGAATCTTCGATTTCTTTCCACAAGTAAGTAAACTCACAATTGGTAAACAATACATAGGCGTAGAATGAGGTTTATAAGGAGCAAATTTTTGGCATGAATTATAGCTTTGAAAATTTTAAATTTGGTTTCGTTTTAAAAATTTTTCACGAAAGATGTATATTACTTGCAATTTTACATTTGTTTTTTATAGGTTACCCTCAGGTGAAACTTTGAGACGGGAGTGGATCAATGCTTTGGAATTAGGAGATTTCGTTTTGACCAAATATACATATGTTTGCTCAAAACGCTTTTTTCATATAATAAATGTATTTCCTAATTAAATTACGTCCTAATAAATGTCTCCCTCCTTTTTTAGTTTTTTAATTACAAAACGAGCCGCCACTGGTACGGTGGGCAAAGTAAACAAAATACATGGGATTTTATAGGTTATGTATGCTTCACACAATCTATACAAGCTCAGCATAGGACGCCATTTCTATTAATACGAGTTCATAGAACAACAATATTATCAAGTGGGTGAGTTGTTCCATCTGATGTTGAGAAATTTTCAAGTTAAATAAGCAAAATAGATCCACTAACCTGGATTTTTATAAGTTATTTTTTATCATTTCAATTATTCTCACATTGTTATTATTGTTTTATTACATCTGTTATTTTATACATATATATTTTCTCAAACCCTATGCGCTGGGATAAATTTGCCTTTGAAAAATGAGCAAATGGTTGTTTTTTAGAAGAATGAAAAATATGCTCTTTTTGAGGGGATTATTTGTGATTTTGGGTATTTTTTTGTTTTTGTTTTTGGAGCAGCTAGAAATAGTATATGAAAGATTTTGATTTTATTTTATATGGATAATTAGGGTTTTTTTTTGTTGAAAACCTATCTCCCAAATATGGACCGGTTAGAAAATTAAGACTGTGAAATTTTGATTATTGTACAATTTTAGGTAGTTTTGAATAATTTTTGAGTTTTTTGACAAAATGCGTAAATTGAGCGATTTTTTAGAGGTTTAAAAATACTGGAATTTTGATGTTTTTTTTGGGGGTTCAGGCATGATTTTTTCGTTATTTTGGTGGGAAAATGTTCGTCCCACAAGATGTGTCCTATAAATTTTTGGGAGATTAACAAATTTTAGATTTTAAATAAAATTATGATGATTTTTAGGTGCTTCTGCTTGATTTTTAAGTTTTTTGAAAAATAGTCAAATTGAGTGGTTTTTGGAGATTGGTTTTTAAAGGTTTTGTGTGATTTTCAAGGATCATACACTCTAAAATAATCCGTTTTCCTCTTAAATTGCTTGTCCCACAAGATGTGTCCTAGAAGTAACATTTTATACTCTACTAAAGGTGACCGGAAAGTTGCGCACAGGAAATAAGCACACCGGAAATAAGCGCGCAGAAAAAAGCGCACACGGAAAAAAGCGCACACAGAAAAAAACGCACACGGAAATAAACGCACATGGATAAAAGCACACACGGAAAAAAGGGCACAAAAAAATTCAGACGGAAAAGTACACACATTGAAAAATGCTATCGCGGTTTAGTTAAACTAAAACATCATATTTTAAAATACTCGATGCTAAAAGCTCAAGGCTCACGGCCATAATTTTTTCTCTTGATTTATTTTAATTTTTGTAATAGTTACCTATTTACGATACAAATGAAATAATAAAGCCATTATTAACGCACGTATTTGACTCGGCGGTGCTTTAGTTACCAAACAAATAACAAAATAATTGATCCACAATCACCTTATAATTACTTATGAAGCATATTAGGTGACCTATTATTATCCACTAGTGTATAAAGTAACTTTTCCACCAGTGAGCTTCCACTTGTGAGTTTTTATTATAAGGACTCGAGAATATTTTCCAATTTTGGAAAAATGTGGTGGAGTTATGATTGTGGGTAAAACCTTGTATTACATTCTTCTTTTAGATGCATTTGCAGATGTCATTGTACCATTTTAGTGGTATAAAAAGTTATAGGTACGTTTTTTAATCGAAATTGATTACTCTTTAGATTTAAGCAATAAAAAATTAGGGTCAAGAGACCAAAAAACAGAAAAACACAAAATGTGACCTGCAACTGATGAAAACGGAAATTGAGTAGATGTATCCGGTTTTCGTAATTACTATCCTAATAGAGGGTATGTTCTCGCAAGTAATTGTTCCAAATTTTATAATATTTCCTCAAATGGTCCCAAAGTTATTACAAAAAAAAATAAATTTCCATACCCACAACTACTTATGATAATAATTGGTAATCGTTTAGAATGAGTTTTTGCAAATGAATTTGCAATGTGGTGGGCTGCCCATTTAAATTTGGAATTCTGCTTCGTTTTCCGCAATCAGAAAAAGAGCCAGAGAATTCAGATTGTAACGTAACGTAACACATTTTCATAATAAAGGGTGTTTATTTAAATTTGGCGTCATAGTTGGCGATGATATGCGTGTGTTGTGAACGGACCACAATTTTTAACATGCTCGGTGAGGTGTCAAATGTCAGATTAATAACTTTCAATACGATGGTTCGTTCACAATCGAATTTTCATGGATAGCTTTGACGCCAAATTGAAAAAAACACCGGTTATCTTTACCCTGTAATCTTTTTCTAAAAATAAAATTTTATCTAAAACATGCATTTTGTATTTGATTTATTTTTTTACAAGAATAATAAACTAAAAAAAGACTCAAAATTGCTGCCCTTTTTAAGTTTTTGGTCTCGCCGAAGGATGACGCCACACATAGTCTTTTAATTTTTAACACGCCCGAGTGTATCCATCTCCACTTCGTACAGATACGACACAAATTAGCTGGTTCCAGATATGTCAGATGCTTACTACGCGCTGTGAGGTTTCGTTGACATTGTAATAAAATTTTAGATTCAGTATTTGTTTGGTATTAGAAATATGTGTAGCATATTTTCCAAACAATTAGTCAGTTAAAAAGTGTAAAAATTCATTGAATAAACGTTATGGTGTGTCTGTGTTTTATTTAAAAGAACCGCTAGAAATAGATCAATGAGAGGTACGCCCAGATAAATAGATCAAAGTGTAAACAAAATGTTTGTTTGGTGACTATGGAAACGCTGACGCCAAAGGGTATATAAAGGAGAACGGGCCGCCACACCGGCAGATTCACTTGAGTCTCCTTCCGGACCTCTTCGGACGCAATCACCAGGACCTCTCTTGGTGGAACAACTTCAGGACCTCTTCTGAAGGACTGTGCTCTTTGGACATCTTCAAAGAATACGGTCGACGGGACCTTCTAACGTCGTTAAACCATACCTTCTCCAGGACATCTTCTGGGAGCCGAGTTCACCTCTGGACACGGGCCACGGGATCCGTTCTGTGGTAAGGGCTTAACATCTAGGACTTCTCCTAGGTGGTGTCACTTCCTGGACCTCTTCAGGAAAACAACCGACGGGACTTCTCCCCTCAAATTCACCCGCGGAGGACCTCTTCTCCAAGGGCTAGGGTTCACTAGTCCAAGTTAGAATTTGTTTTGTTACTTGTTTTATCTGTTGTTACTGTTATATAGTTACTAAATAAATTTCTCTTTTCAATCACCTGTGTTTAATTAAATCGAACCTCCCCATTCCTCTCCACTGAATAAAAGCTGGCCGGAAAGGCATTCTTATGTAGTGTAGACCTGGAGAACATCTCCAAATAGTTCTTTTTCCAACTTTTAGGAAAAAGTTGGTGGCGCCCGGTTTAAATAAGAAAATAATAAAAGAAAAGACATTACAACATTGAACAAGCTTATTAGAGAATGAAGTATTGAACGGAAATTAGTCATATTTGATGCAACGATAAATAGTTATTTGTGTGCAAGCGCTTGCAAAACAGTTTCTGACCGTATGATTCACGAAACTTTTTCGGCCAACAACATTTTTCAATTAAAACAAATTTATTTATTGTTAAATTTTCTCCGGCTAGAGAATTTATTTTTCTTCTCTTGGTAGCACTTATTCCACGGTGTAATGGTTTAAATTTAAAATAATTTTATGACATTTGTAAAGTAATTAACACTTTTGAGAAGAAAATTCAATGCATTGGTTGAAAATGGATACACAAGATATTCAAAATGTGGCAGAAGCTGCAATTCAAAATTTATTGCTAGAAAAGTTGTCCAATCGTTATTGGAAAGAATATGATTTGTTGAAGAAATGGGCTTTTGAAAATTTTCTTAAAATTCGATTCATTCTGATTCGACTCTTAGATCAAAATGTCGTGTGCAGTGAAATGCTGTTGAAATACGACGAGATTTAGGCCCGAAGGAATCAATTTTCACCGGTTAGTCATTCATCATGGTTTGAGGTTATGTTTATGTGAAACAAATTTTTTGCAGACTTCCAAAAGGTCATTTGTTGGCTGTGTGGAAAGCTGTTTTAGGCTTGGATCTTGAATGAAAAGTGGCAGTGAACAAATAAAGATTTTTTGAAAATATGAATCTGTCGTTATTTAACTCATTTCTAATGTGTTTTTTATAAAAATATATTTTTTTGTAAAGTATAAAGCCATGTTAGCTTTACAATGCGCTAACTTCACACCAACCTCACTTAAAACAATTGGAGGGAAATTTAGGCTCGAGATGGAATAAACCGTCAATTTTTCCCTCAATTTCTATCCAGACTTCCGAAGTGTCTCATGTGATTTTCTTGTGTGATTCTTCGAAAGGCGTTAGAGATAATAATTACTTTTTATTTAACCGTAGATTTATATTAACCCCCAATTTATTATTAACCTCTGTAGTTTTTAAAAAGATTTATATAGATTTAGTTAAGATTATTAATCAATTTGCTTTAGAAGAATTAGTTTGCATGGTAAAGTAGTAATTAGTATTTAATTACTGATACGTAGTAAGTAGGTAGTTAGTAATATTATTTATTGTATTGTAGAACCAGATAATCTGTGGATACGGCTTCTCCCAATCTTCACTCCGTTTATAAAACTGTTCCGATCTAATAGTCGATGGATGTTCGTTGCAGTGGCGCCCCCAAATTGTCAATTTTTGAACTGACAAAATTCAAAGTTTGCATCACCTTGTATTGTGAAATTACAATTTCATAATTTTTTATAAGTGTTTTCTAATTGTTTATTTTTATTTTATTATTTCGTCTTACTGGCGAAAATTTCATAAAGGGAAAGAAATGTTTCGTTTGTGGCAAGGGTAATACTTTAATCTTTTTGAGTTCTCCAGCGATTTTAAAGAGCGTACTAAGTGGCTGGAAATTATTGAAGGATTATGGTACAGACAAAATTGTATCGCTCTTTTGACTTGTTATTTACAGATGTTTCAAAATTAAAGGATCAATCAGTTATTTGCAAAGATCACTTTGAAGAAAATTCGTTTTATTTTACAAAATTATCTTGCCGGCTAATCAAATGAGTGTTACTACCTTCAGTTAATATCTTCAGTATTTGTAAGTATAAATAAGAGTTATCCAATAAAAAAAATGGTTACACATATTAAAGTAAAATTACAAATTACAACTGATTTTAATTTATAGAATATTCCTGATACAGTAGAATTTCCCCATATTCCTCCAACTGTTCGTGACCAAAATGAAACCAATTCCAAATTAGTCCAAGTCCAAGTGGTGGAAATGTTGACTGAATGTCGATTTATCATGTTGAGACTTGTAACTCACAATATCTCTTCAAACGTAGCCCTCTTCAAAAAAACTATCTGATGGAGCTCCCAAAAAGTGCATCAACCATCCTCTGTTTCTAAACATGCTGTAACAAATGCAAGATTTGTTTAAAAGACAAAATAGTAATTTTGGTTTCCTCCAACGTTTTGACCGTAACAAGCAAACAATAGTACATTCTTGAAACAGACAAGTGTCGTCCAGATTTCGTTCTCGGAAGACCGACACTTTAGTTTAGTTATCTTTCAATAAATTTCATGTTTAGGAAAATATAAATATGTCCAAATTAGTACAGCTTCTTTTGAATTTGTTTGACCATACCCGACGACCGCCTCTAACGGTCGAAACGCTCGTCATCCGGTTGGGAACATGTGGTCTCTTCTTAGAATCGCGGATCCTTTTATAATCTTTTCTTTTCCAAATTAATCAGTGGAACCAAATTGTTATCGCGAATCAGAGGGAACGAGTCACATGCTAGAAATATAAAGGATGTGGTCCTCACTAAGATATTTAATGTTCCACCTTGTTTTGAGAAAAGACCAGCTAGACCAGACAGGTGTCAGGACTTCGCAACTCACGTAGTTAGTCAAATGTACAGTTTGCAGGAGAGTTGCTAGGTTCTGGTCACCTTAATTAAACGATGGAATATAGTCGAGATCGGGCGGTACTGTAATTGTTTTGTACTCTTTGATTCTTTGAAATTGTAAACCGTCATGAGTTCTCAGAAGATGATCCATCAAAGTCACAATGACTACAAAAGAGCTAGCCTCTCTCTAGGCTCTAGCGCTTGTTCGGGCTAGAGAGAAAAATTTGGCAACAGCGTTTAGACCGGAAGTTTCGTCCAAGGGATGCTTCCAGGCGATTGGACGAGGAAGTGTCCCCTCTTCGAAGACGAGCTTTCCTAATTTCAAAATTTCGTTACCTAGTCAGTTCTTATTTGATTCCGATTTCGAGTAGTCTTTGCGACGAGAGTAATCTGTGAAATCGTTTAACTTAAACTTCTTTCTTTGCTTAATTTTTGTGAAATTTCAAGTTCTTTTTTTTGTTATCTTCTTTTTATTTGTGTTTAAATTCATTAATAAACGGGCTGGTTTTGCTGAAGCCTGAGTTTCATTTCGGTGTGTGAGTGATCCAACGGATTACATCGCAGAATCGCCCTCAAAGGTAAGGGATCTTTTCCTATAGAAGATCGGCAGAGCCCAATAAGATACCCACAATCACGAGAGAAAAATCCGCGCTACCAATAATTTTTTTCTCTCGTTTGTTTTTTCATTACTCAAGTTAAACCCACGCACCAGTCTTGTTAGACTGACACAATGCCATTATTTCTTAGCTTTCATTATTACCATGTGATTAAAAATGCAAGAAATCTCTTTTTAGACTACAACATGTGTTCTTCTGAAGACATCATTAGCTCCTCATATCTGAAACAGCTATATCGTCTACAAAAAGGATTACCAATTAAAGCAGTCAGATATTTAACCAGAAAACACTGTATCCGACAAAGATTGAAAACTTACGTAAGGACAACATACTACCTGAAAATATTAATAAATTTATAATAGAATAATTATTATACAGGGTGTTTACGGTCTTGAGGTTGAAATTTAAATGAGAGGATATTTACGGTAGAAGAAAACTAATACGCTATATAATACAAAAATTCACGTTGTTAAAGGAAATTATTAATTTTACACTATTTGTTTAAGAACTGCTGTTTCGGTTGCAACAATGGCCATTAGTATCATTACCTTGTGTTTCACCAAATCATAATCATGACAACCAATTTATTATTTTAATATTTTTCCATACATGTTCATAAATGTGGAGAAAAATTAAGAAAAACGAATCAAACCTATTGGAAACCATTCGTTGAAAGAGATTAAACAGAAGACCTTCGAATTTTGATAAAAACTAAAGCAAAAGCAAATCAAATGATGACAGTGTCAAGGAGGAAGTGACTTTTCTCTTTCATTGTCATGGATACGATTTTTTTATCTGTTGCAACAATACAATTTTATCTGAACAAGGAAATAATTCCAGTGACCCTCAAACCGTGTACCAATATTTTGGAGTTAAATAACATTCTTGATAATAACAATTGTGTGAGTTCTTTCTCGGTTACAGTATTTCTGTACTCTTCTATTACTAGGTCAATTTTCAACTCCAAGACTGTAAACACCCTGTATAATAATATTTATTAAAATTGGAAATTTTGTTTTGACAAAAATGTTCAAACTGACCAATTTTCTTTTTAGAAAACACAAAGTTTTCAACTTGATTTAAAATTGTATGTTTGTTTTTTGTTAATAAATATTATTTCACTTTCTTTGGTGATTTTTTTTCGACAACTTTATGTAATATTTAATAATTTGGTGTTGTCATTTCGATAATTAAAAGATCTATCAAATTGGATAAAAAATTAGGCGTTTCCATTAAAAAAATGTTAATGACGTCATTACTCAAAAACCAAAGAGTGTAAAATTTTACATCGAGTTGAAAATTCTGTATTTTTTAAAAAGAAAATTGACCTGTTCGAGCATTTTTGCCAACACAAAATATTTTCTGTTTTAATAAGATTATTCCATAATTTTGTTGCTCACTGTATAAGTACAGGATGAAAACTTTAACTAGAATAAACTTTGTAACTAAGATATAGACGAAAACATGGTGCAAACCTTCACACTGTATTTTACTCCGTTAAATGTTGATTTTCATAAAGAGTGCACTTCTGCACCCTCAAAATTCTAAATTTCATGTTTCTAATTTTATTTTTAAGCGTTTGCAGCGTACTTTATTTCGTTAAAATTTGAAAAGTGCACTTCTACACCCTCTAAGGATCATATTTTCCAAATTTTATGTTTCTATATTCCTTTAAATGTGTACACCATTTCATTCCCTTAAAAATCTGATTTTAGTGTCCCTTTACACCTCCAAAGAATTTTATGTTTATATCTTTGTTTAAACGTTTACACCCCACTTCAGCCCTTTAGAGATTGTTTCTCTCTTTCTTCCAAAATTTTTATTTATATCTCCGTTTAAATGTTTACATCTGAGTCACGCTTCAGGTAGGCCAGCTTAGTTGGGAAACGCTCCACACACTATTTCCATATAAATACTTACCATAAACTGATGAAATGTGTTTCGGAAGGATTTTTAATGCAATTTTATGTAGACTCCAAACTTCAGAAGCCTAAGGTTAGTCCTAAGACAAAAATGCATAGGATCATTTTTGTAGGAAATTTTGATGCAGAAATAGACTTCCACAGAAAATTCTGCATAAATTTCATAAACGATGAGTTTGTATTCACAGACCTTCGTGACTCCCCCTCCCCTCCTTTAATAAAGTATTGGACTCAGTAAATTTAATTTACTGTCAGTTTTTTCAAATCACAAGACTAATTCTCTTTTAAATGCAGATAAAGCACATTTTCTTGAATTATGTTTTTTGCCAGCCCTATAACTCGCAAAAGTTATCACAACCTGCTCGTAATTCATTTTCTAAAACTTCTGCCACGCAGTAATTTTAAAAACACAACTCTCATAGAATATTAGCATTTTTTTTTACTTGTTATGATTAGCAGTTACCTATGTATTAGCTGTACAAATTTGTAAGTTACTTACATATTATGTAATATTAAACAAGATTATTCACCCATTCCTGCATTTTAAAAAATCCTCAGCTATGTCTGTGTCAATTCGTCCACTTCCCAGTGTTAATTGCTCCTTAAACAATCAAGAGGGACCTACACTGGTTGATTATTATTATGGGCAAAATTACTTTCACTAGGGAGTGAACATATTACGGAAACCCTTATTGTAAAAACTTTTAAAATAATAGTATTAACAACCTTCATGTGAAGAATACAAGGCACTCTACAAAAAGCCCCTCTTTTAATTGAGTTATTATAAAAACTATATGAAAACAATCGTTGTAAATAGATTTTATGAATTAACTACGGATGAATAATTTTTAGGTAGCAATTACGAGTATATGGATTTTAACGATCTACAAGCAACATCCAAACAAATACCTTTTCATTAATATATTTTACGCAGAATGGCATACAATAGTCAAGATTTTATATAGTCTATTTTTTAGGACACTGTAGAAAAACTTTCTTTAGTTACTATCATCAATTAAATTATTTCTATTAATTTAAAGCTATTTTAATGTTGTTTTTGGAATGTTATAAAAAGTTATAAAAATAACTACAAAATAATGCAAAAATAGATTATTGCCTATTGCAAACAAAACAAATGAAAACTACATATTTAGTTTAAGAGTTTAGTCGTGTTCAATTTGGCGCTTGAACAAATACCTATCAAATAAATAAATTAAAATTTTTAATTGTAAAATACAGGGAGATTTCAATAGTTGTGCAAAAATTTAAAAGGTGAAAGTAAAGGTTTGAATGTTTATAAATTCTGTGATATATAGGGTTGCCGAATAAATTTAAATTTGGAGCACAGCCTTAAATTTCATTAAGAAAAGTTTTATCTCTTCAAAATCTATTATATAATGCCTTATATACTAATTTTTCCGACTTTCACTTTCCCTACCCCCAACTAACGAGTAGAGGGGAGAAAAAGGAATGGGGCCGTTGTCTGAATTCATAAGAGTATCTCTATTTTTAAATATTTCAAGACACTCGAAAGCGTCAAGAAATTTACAATTATTGACTACTCTAATAATTTTTACATTAGTTTCATGGATTTTATGGTCTTTTTCAAAAATATGTTGGGCCACACTTGATTTTTCAAATCTGTTATATCTTTAATGAGCTATGTGTTCTTTAAACCTAGTGTTAACTGAACGACGTGTTTGCCCAATATATT